ACAAAAACATGAATAAAAAAAAAAAAAACTTGTTTTGGACACAAATCAAGATAGTGGAAATGGTGGCCACTTGGTATTTACAACAAGGATAATGATTTTAAAAAATAATATATTTTTTGATTTGTAAATATTTGATTATTGATTTTTTTTTTCTATTTTTTTTCCATGTTTACTCCTTTAACTTGTTTAAAGTGTATTCATTCGGTTTTTATTAAGATCAACTATTTTAGGTAAACCATAAGAATGACTTAATTGGGTGATATTTTTTCACTTTATACACATTTAATCCTATATATATATTATATATATATATATATATATATATATATATATATATATATATATATTTAGTCCTTAATATTTTTCTTGCTGCAAAATAAGTCATTGTTATTTTTCTACACATTTAGTACATATAACTAGTTTCTTTAGGTTTTTCTCACGACGTCGTATGTGGGACAACCATTAATAAAGTGTCCAAGGTTGTTGTAGCTTATGGTCACCTCGGCCTCGGTTGCTTGGTTGCTTAGGTCTTGTAGTTTGGCTTAGGTCTTGTGTTCTGAATGTCGTAACTTTGTCAAATGATATCTAAGTTTAACAATCTTTATATCCAGATGTTCGTATTTGAGTCTACTACAACTTTCGTTTATATTACTCCCGTTAAAAGTAACATATTTTTACTTACGACCTTTATATACATGCTTCTTTATGAATGTATGTATGAACGTTTTTTTTTTTTTTATAAAATCACAAGTAAAAGAATATTACATTTTAACGGGAGTAATCTAATCAAAAATTGTAATAGAGTCAAATACAAACGCATGGATATAAAGATCGTTAAAATCTAAGATCAAATGAAGAGTTACAATATTTAGAACACAAGACTTAGGCTAAACCACAAGACATAAGCAACCAAATAGCCGAGGCCGCAGTGACCATAAGCATCAACAACCTCGAACATCTTATTAATGATTGTTCCACTTAAGATGTTGTGAGAAAAACCTAAAAGAACCAGTTATAATTACTAAATGTGTACAAAAACAACAATAACTTATTTTGCAATAAAAATTTATTAATGACTAAATGTGCAAAAAAATATTAAGGAATAAATGTATACAAATTGATAAATATGTTGCCCTATTAAGTCATGTTTTATGGCTTAACTGATGTAGTATGTCATAATGACTTAATGTGTACAGTTTAAACAAACTGATAAGGTAAATGTGTACGAAAAAAACAATAACCAAATGTGTACAAATTGAAAAATATATTACCATTTGATAAACATATACTTCAAAAAAATAATAATTGTTTTGGACCCAAATCAAGATAGTGAAATGGTGATATTTACAACAAAGGATAATAACTTAAAAAGGTAATACATTTTTTGATTTGTATAAATTTTGTTATTGAATTTTTTTTCGTCCATATTTACCTTTCAACTTGTTTAAACTGTACACATTCAGTACTTATGACTGACTACTTTAGGTAAGCCTGAAAAAAATAACTTAATAGTGTAATATATTTCCCACTTTATATACATTTAGTCCTTAATATTTTTTTATACATTTAGTTAACATATATTTTTTGTTGCAAAATAAGTCATTGTTGTTTTTAAACACTTTCGGTACTTATAACTGGTTTCCTTAGGTTATTCTCATGATATCCTACGTAGGACAATCATTAATAAGATGTTCGAGGTTGTTGATGCTTATGGCTACCGCCATCGATTGCTTGGTTGTTTAAGTCTTGTGGTTTGGTTTAGGTCATGTGTTCTGAATGTTGTAACTTCTTCATACGATCTCGAATTTTAACAATCTTTATATCCATCCTTTTGTATTTGAGCCTACTACAACTTTCGTTTAGCTTACTCCAGTTAAAAAGTAGTATATATTTACTTACGGTCTTTATATCCATGCCTTCTTTATGAATGTATGTATGAATGGTTTTTTTATAAAATCATAAGTATAAATATATTACATTTTAATGGGAGTAATATAAAAGAAAAGAAAAAACATCATAAATGGTCCCTATGGTTACCCAAAATCTGAAGTTTAGTCCCTGTGGTTTAAAAACCTCATAGATGGTCCCTGTGTTTTCAAAACTTTTGACGATTGGTCCTTATTGCTAACTTTGTTAAGTTTGTCCGTTAACTGAAGGACATTTTCATCTTTTCACTACCACAGGGACCATTTATGATGTTTTCTTATATTTAAAAAAAAAAACTAAATATGATTATTTTATATGTAAAAGCTCTCTCTCTCTCTCTCTCTCTCTTGTGTCAATGCTACTTTAAACCATAATCAACATAGTGAAATTTGACCCTCATATCACCATTGTCGAGTAATCGTCCTACCCAAGACCTAGGTTCTGATCTATGGTAAATCAATATACCCTTCATTGCTCTCCCTGTTTCCGACCATCGATCTAGCCCCTGCTCACCACCTTTCTCCATGTTTTCATCGACTCCATTTCGCAAAAATCAAAGTTGAAAACCACAGGATAATTCAACCTCAAGACACTTCCAGTTCTAATTATATGAGTGTGTATAGTGTAGAAAATGAATTTGTTCTTCCTTTTTCTGTTTTGGGTTGGGTAAAAACCTTTAATTTGTTACATCTATAAATGCATGGAGTGAACTCCGGGGAAGATATAATATTTCGGAATCAGAACTTCAATTTCTAATTGGGTAGAATTTAGGGTTTGGCATTTAGAATCGAAGCTCCTTAACTGATGTTGATGTGTTAATGCTGCAAGCTATTGCATTTGAAATCCCTAACTATTGAAGAAGCAAGAAGAACTGAAACAAAGGAGCAACCATCGACTATTGCAACTAGGGGTTGTTCCAACAGCTTCCTTGGCAGTTCCCTTTTTCTGGCTCGACAACACAACACGAAGGGAAAGAATGGAGTGGGTTTTTCGATTCTCTGTCGATCGGAGAAAAAGAAATGAACGAGGGCAGAAAATGGTTCGGAGGTGATGGGGTGGTGTTTCTCGACAATCAAATGTGTATGTTAGCAACTCTGATTAACAAGAGGAAGAAGATAAGAACAAGGGTTGTTGCCCCTTTTGATATTGCCAGAATCAGCAACCACTCCGGTGGTTTCTTTGACAACAATCAAGAAAAAAAAGGAAGAGAGAAAGAGAGAAATAAAGAGAGAGAGAGAGAGAGAAGGGGGGGACTCTGTGCGTAGTATTTCATTTTTTTAAAATAAAAGAAAAACATCATAATGGTCCCTCTGGTAGTGAAATGACAAAAATACCCTTCAGTTAACAGACAAAACTTAACAGAGTTAGCAATAAGAACCAATCGTCAAAAGTTTTGAAAACACAAGGACCATCTATGAGGTTTTTAAACCACGGGGACTAAACTTCAGATTTTGGGTAAACACATGAACCATTTATGATGTTTTGTCAAAAGAAAATTGTAGTGGACTCAAATACGAATATGTGTATATAAATATCGTTAAATCTGAGATCGTATGAGAAAGTTATGACGTTCAAAATATAAGACCTAAGTCAAGCCACAACACATAAGCAACCAAGCAGCCAAGGCTGCGGTGATCATAAGCATCAACAATCACAAACACCTTAGTAATGATTGTTACATATAAGATGTCATGTGAAAAAACTAAATAAACCGATCATAAGTACTAAATATGTACAAAAACAACAATGATTTATTTTGCAACACAAAAAATATGAAAGACTAAATATGCAAAAAAAATATTAAAGACTAAATGTCTACAAAGTGAGAAAATATATTATCCTATTAAGTTATATTTTTCCGGCTTACCTGGAGTAACCGATCATAAGAATTGAATATATACATTTTAAATTAGTTGAAGGGGTAAATGTGTACGAAAAAAATTCAAAGATTAAATATATATATATATATATATAAATTGAAAAATATATTATTATTTTAAGTCATTGTCCTTTATAACAATAACAACAACAAAGCAACCCCTAAAAATCTCATTGCAATGGTGCGGAATCATAATGCCTCCAAAAGTAGTAAAACAAATAAGTCTCGTTAATAACCTCTGGTATGTACAACCAAAACAATCCAAAATAAAATAAATCATAAGTTTGAATCCTACATGCTTTAATCTTAAGGGGTGTTCGGCTTAACTTTTCACAGTTCAAAAGTTCTTTTTGAAAAAATTACAAAAAATCAGGGTTTCCTGATTTTTCTAAAAAGTGCATTTTCCTTTATAAAAACTCCAAAAGTAACTTTTAAAATTGTTTTGCCAAATATCTTTTGTTTTTTTCTTTTCCAAAAAAGATTTTTAGACTGTAAAAAACTAAGACAAACACCTCTTAAGTTAGCATGTCGTTTAGAAAGTGTTATTAATGCTGTGAGCTCTATAAATTGATATTTATTTGTTTGTTTACCATAACATTAAATATTGCAATCATAGGTCAGGGTCCAAGATAGACCCATAAGAGTTAAAGAGATGGCAACTACACAAAATTAATTAAAGAGTTAGCAAATTGGATGTGAAGTCATTTGGCATTTTCTCTGGGTTAAAAGCGTAAATTCCCATTTTTATATGGTCCTAAAAAAATTGCTTTTTGTAAATCAATATCAAGATTTATTAAGGTCACTAGAACACGTTATTATTAGATCAAAAACACGTAATCGGAAGTTTATTGGTAATCTTTTAACATATTCCAATCCCTTTTTTTGGAACAACAAAATTTATCAAGTCTATCACAATACAAAAAATAATAATAAATAAATAAATAAATAAAAATAAATTAAATTGTAAAATCAACCAACCCAATTAATCCTACATTACGAAAGTCCAAAAAGCCCATCCTTTATTTCATTCGCATCCAAAAATGCATTAAAGATATAAAATTACAAAGAACATAGAACAATATTTTACAAACAAACATCCCAATACCATATTTGAAGAAATATCTTAGTGTCTTCCATTGATTAGACACAATTTTATCTTCTTAAGAGCTCTTTCATAAAGAAAATCCACATTCCTTTAATAATGCCAAATAGTAAAATTGCCCTCAATGATCGAGTACGATAACGACAAATCAAGATGAACGGTCTCAAAAGTGACATAACCTCTAGCCAACCGAAATCTTCCAGTACCACCAACCACCGCCACCTCTCTCACCCTCTCAAACTGCTTGCTAGTCCCTTGCACCTCCAACGTGCTACCACCAAACTCATCATTAGTGAACACAACAGATATCATGACATGTGAGTTGGACCCATCCAACGCAGATGTCACATAAATACCTTGAGCTCGACCCACTTGAGCCGAACCCTGATCCATTGTTACAGTTATCACATCATCAGTACAAAATATCGTCCCAAATTGCTTGAACGACCATGCATCGCCAGAAAACGTGACAGGTTTCATCGTTGCATTAGCTCCACCAAAATAGTCTTGGAAGTAAAGTGTCATGGAGGACAGTTTGAGCTCGCCTAATTCATCGGCTTTCAAAAATGTAAGAATGGATATGACCGAGACGATGATGAAGGGTAGTTTGGTCATTTTTATGATCAGGGTTGCCATTTATGTTGTGTTGTTTATTTTGTAGGATGAAATGAGAAGAATTTATATTATGTTGTTTAATTTAAAACAAGAGAATATGCCAAGATTTGGAATTTGTAGTTTGAAGACATATAATTCGATGTCCCCTATATATTTATCTTACATAAAAGAACTACTTAAACAAGCAAATCAATACAAGAGTCAAAGTATCTTTATTTCACTAATAGGTAAATACAAAAAGAAAAGGTAGATCATAGATGCAACCCTAATAATAATAATCATAATATTGTTCAAACCAAGACAAAAACCCAAACATAGAGGAGAAAACTTGTTGCATATGACATGAAGAAGCTTAAAAAGCAGCATAATAATAATAATAATAATTAATAATATTCATATTCTCCTTTTATCCAACTCATGTATCCTTCTTTCCATTGGCATGAGACAAGCTATCATCAATGGCACGAAGTTGATCTCTAAGATTCTGGTTTTCAGCCAACAAGCGATCATATTCAAGAAGGAATCCTTCAGATTGATGCTTAAGTGCAAGAGAATTGGCTTCTGCAGATTTCACTTCTTTTTCCATTGCTGAATATTTGGTTTCCAGTTTCTTCATTTCTCCCCTCATTCTTATCATTTCTTCATTCAGATGTCTCACTTCATCTGCTCCTTTGTTCTTAAACTCTTCAGCTGCTCGATTTTGTTTCTTTGTGGTTTCCATTGTTTTTCTCAGTATTCGAAGCTCACGAATGTAATGGTGGAGTCGATCTATCATTAGTGATAGGAAAAGCGAGAATCCTGCATTCAAGAATTTATGAAGTAAAAGGTAAAACAGAAGGGCATTTTCGTCTTTTGCACATTGAGTCAAAAACTTTTAGATGCAAAATTTGTGTAAAATGTATGAATCAAGATTAATTTTTCAACAAAAACCAACATTGTGTAACAAAAAACTGAAACAGAATTGATTTTTTAAGGCTGAATGTAAATTCCCTTAACTGTTTTTAAACTTGATTATGATATTTTAGTGTGGAGTAATCAGAATATTTGGAGAAGCGATATAAATGTGTTGCAAGAAAACTGAATTTCAAGAAAGTTTATCTATTATCCCAATTTGATCACTTTGAAACCACAAATAAAAACACCCCCAATTGATTTGGAAACCTAATTCTAAATTAAGTGAGATACGAATATATTTTCTCGAGAATTACAATAGTTTAAAGCAATTGAAACTAAAAGAATGCCAAAATTGATCCACAAAATCGCCCAAAGGGGTGACAAATTGGGAAGATTAAGAGATGGAATAACCAGACAGGAAAAGGAAATTACCCATGAGAGCAGCTTCGAGCATGTGGTAAGCGAGGATGATTTGATCGGTGGGATTATTGACGTCGGCGGGGCGCCTCTGGATTTCCATTACGGTGTAAACGTTGTACATCATCATGATGAAGAAGGTGGCGGCGACGGATTTTACAACCAATGGAGCTCTTCCCCGTTTCGCACGATCTAACCCGATTATCAAAAGCTTTCGGAGTGGGGTTTTGAACAAAAGTAACAGAATCGTCAACATTTCGATGAATAAAACCGCGAAGAACAGGTAAATCATCGTTGTAAATCAAGAATGTATGGAAAAACCAGATGGATGGAACGATCGCCGACAAGGATGATGAAGAGAGAAAGTGTAGGGCGTTTCAAGAAGGGTTGATTTTTGTTATGCCGACTAGCGATCGAACCAAAAGTGGCCTGTTTTTGACTCATGTTTCCTTGATACATATACCATGTTATTAAAATATACGAAATATTTGAATAAAATATTTGTAACTTTAAGCTATGTTGAAAAACAACTATTTTATAATCTATATATATATTTTTTCTTTCTTTCTTTTTCTTTCTCTTAAGAGAAGATAAGTTTGTAGGTTAATTTTTTTAAAAGTTATTTATAATGGTAGAGGTAATTATTTTTTTTTTTTTTTTTCGTTTTGTTCGAACAGATGATTAATAGTATGCGAATATATTTAACAAGTAAAATGTTTAAATTATGAAAAAAATTGTTTAAATATGAACAATTTTTTTTATAAAATTTTTACAATATTTTATGATATTTTTTCTTATAAGTTGTAATATAATATTTTAAACTTTGTTTATGTTTTTTTTTTTTTTAATTTTTTCCAACTTTCATATGATTTTCATACACTTGCTTTTAAACCAAATACGAAAAATAAAATCGAAAAATAATAAAAACAAATACGAAAAATAAAATCGTTATTAAAAATGTGGAAAATAATCATTTGTTCAGATTTATGCAATTTTTATTTTTCTTATACATTTGACCATTTAACTTGTTAAATGTGTTCATATGTTACCATTGTTACCTGAGATAGTCGGTGTTCATTGTAATATGTGAACACATTGACCAAGTTAAATAGTTAAATATGTACAAAAAAGAGAGGTTGTCTAAATATGAACAAAACGAAAAAAATGATTACCCTCATAAGTCCGTTTCCCTAGTTTTTTAAGTATCAACAAATTTATAGAACCTTTTCAAAAAAATTTATTATACTTTTTATTATTATTTAAGTAATTATTATAATAAAAAAACTTATTAATCTCATATGAAAATGTAACATGCGTTTTCCTGGATGGATGGAATTAGTGTTTCAAGGAGTCAAAATATCAACTTTTTTGAAGATATGGAGTCTCACGATGTGACCTTTGAGCGGTCATGGCGTGACATGGGTTTGAAATTGAGTCCAGGATTGATCTCACAACGTGAGGCATAGAGGATCACGACATGAGAATTATTGCAGCCCAAGCCCATGATCTTTTAGGGTTTCTTTTGTATTTAAGCCTCTCTGAGCCATTGTTAGTGTTCATTTTCAGCCTCTAACTCCCTTTCACCGAAGAAAACCCTAACCTTCATTCATTGCATGATTCTTAAGCTTTTTGGAGCTTTTCTTGGCTTGAAGAATAAGAGAAGAAGAATAAGGAAGTGATCTTTTGGTGGAGCTTGCAAGGAATCAACATTATCATCACCTCATATAGTCTCTGGGCCCTTGTAAGTGTAAAAGTTTCCATATTTATTGTTGTATATGGTTAGATATAAGTTTTGCCCCATTTATCTATTTATTAAGCTAGTTTGAAAGAATGGAAACCATAAATTTGGCAACTTTATGGGTTGTAAGGGTCCTTAGAGTGTCATAAAGTTTAGCTCTAATGAACAGTTGGGTTTTGAATCTTTGCATGAAAGTTAGATGGCCTTTTCTACATTTTTGGTCCCAAAGGAGATCGAGACATGTATTGGACATACATGTCCATAAAGCATCGACTTGTAAGTGTATTATAGAGTTATAAGACCTTCTGCAAAGTTAGAGTAAAAGGCTTATGGATTAAGGACTTAAATCATTGGATTTTTGGCTTCAGAATGTGCTTATGATGTGAGACATAGGGTCTTGCAACGTAAGGATTGAATGACCTCATTTTTGCTAACCTTTTAGGGGCTCACGATGTGACAGAATAATGCTCACATTGTGAGGTCAACTTCGATGATTTCCCTTGACTGGGTTGACTAGATTGGGTCGAGACGAGTTGGAATCAGACCGAGTGGACTCTCAAGACGTGACCAAGGTCTGGTCACGAGGATGGTTGGTTGGCATTATGTCCTGTTGAATTTGACTTTAACTATTGACTTTTGGTATGGGTTGACTTTGGTCAATTTGAGGGTTTTGAAGTGTAGACTGGTATGGTACTCTTTATTGTTGTTAGGCGTCATGTAGGATCAGTCTTCGTTGGGTGAGAGTTGTGGTGTTTAGTTGCTACTTGAAAGATGAATCCTCTCACTATACTTGCTTGTATGGTAGTATATGTTGACCACCTGGGTCTTATCAATTGATTGCTATTATATGTAGACGGGGTTGTTGATAACCTATGAGGTATGTTGTTAATCTACAAGGCATGTCGTAAGACTACAGGGAATGCTAATAATCTATACTGAAAACCCATAGATGTTATATTTTGCAATGTATGTGATATGCGGAAGTGCTGATAGATTCAGGCCTATTGTTATATGTTGTGATGTATGAGATATTTGGGAACTCACTAAACTTTGTGCTTAGATATGTTGATTAAACATTTTGCAAGTATTTGTCGGATTGTGAAGGCTTGATTGTACATACACATCAACAACTTTATAATTCAAGATTCCGCATTGTCTTCATTAAAACTTTGATTTTTGAATAATGGTTTTATGAACAAATAATTTTTTTTAATGCAACCTTATTGAAAATGGATGTTATATTATTTTAAAAATAAAAAATTTAACTTGGGTTTTTGGGACGTTTCAAAAAACATACTTTTTATATCATACTGATATTTATTATTTTAAATCATATAATAACTACATAAAATTTTAAATAAAATATATTAAACATGTCTAAAATATTAACTTATAAATATTGATAATGTCATCATCACTGTATAAACTTTAATACTATTAAATAAAATTTAATTGACAAAAAGTATAAAGGGAAAAATATTATTTTTGCATTTATTTGAATTATTAAAAAGATATTAAAGTAATATAATATAGATTTTGAATGTTAAATCAAAGTAAAATAAATTTATTAAAGTGACTAGGGTTTGAAACGTCTGCACGATGCTGCAGAATCTTAATATGTTAAAAACGCATCTCGATATGGATAAGGTTTTGGATAAATTTATGCGCCTTGCGGTGAAAAAGTTCTTTACAAAGTGAATCACAAAAGTATAAAATAAGGTTTTGAAGCAAATAAAATTATGTAAGATGATGCATACAAAATGAAGTTTGAAAATGTATCTTAAACGTGTTAACCATCATTTAAATAAAAAAGTAATATTAATAAAAATGAAAACTATAATAACAAATATATAAAAACAATTATGTAAGGATCAAAATGTAACTTTAAAATACAGTAAGGGATCAAAATTATAACTTAAAATTACCAATAATTTAAGTTTAAAACTATAAAGAATAAAAACCGTTTAATCAAAATTATTTTAGGGTAGAAAATGTAAATAAGAAAAATTTGCCAAAATAAGAATCAAATTTGTTATTTTCAAATAAAATCTTATTTGGGTTTTGTACCAAAGTTTTAAAAACTATAATATGATAGGGATTTATTAATTTTGGTTCTAAAAAATAAAAAAACCAAATGAATAGTAGTTTGCACTTAAAGACTTGAAGTTGGTATTTAATATATATATATATATATATATATACTTTATGTTACAATCCATGAAAACCACGGATAAAAGATATATAATATTTTATTAAAATAATAATATATAAGTTTTGTTTAGATTTTATATATTTGTGTATTTATAGCATCAAACTCTCTAAGTATCAAATTGTAAGAGAAAGAAATAGAATTAAGTTGCTATAATAACAAATCAATGGAAGTATGTTGTTACTTATTGTAATTATTTTCTTTTAGTTTTTAGAAAAAAGATTCAAATGCAAAATATTTAGGTATTATACCATCTTGCTTTTAATGTCCTAATAAAAAATGAATATATACAAAGTTATAATTGTATAGATTTTTTTCAATGTACAATGCGTCAACCTTTATTCTAACGTAGTTAATTACCCTGTAACACAAATATAAAAATTTCTTCAATATATCTAAGCTACATCACAAACAATTTAAAAATGATTTGAATAAATAAGAAAGAAATTTGGAGTTTTTAAAAAATATCATCATAATTCCAAAAATATTTACCATCCACTTGCTTTGAAATATGTATAAAAACATCATACCTCCATTTATCTTTAAGAAATTAAAGAAAGGGTTATATCAAGAAATAACAACGTTCTTTTATTAATTTATGTATTATAACAACCTACTTTTTATTTTATTAAACATTGTACTCTGAAATGTCAAAAGTAAATAAATTAGCACCGAAATATATAAGCAGTCACACCAAAAGTCAAGTATAGCACAAGTTCGAAATATGTATATATGTTAGTGACGTATGTTAATATTGTAGCCTAATACTTTAAAAAAACAATAGATAAATGTTTGACAGTAGAATAACATGAAAAAATATGATTCCTTTAGTGGTTATTTAGGTACTACTAAACTTCACTTCTTTAGCAATCTGGAAAAAGTAAGCAAGGGTGAAATTATTAAGTCTCAAAGTGGCTGGCGCTGGGGCCTGCACTGGCCTGGCAACCAAGAGAGGACACTGGGCCTTCATATGGCCCACCTGGTTACAATGATAACATAGTCGAACTTCGGCAGTTGGAGCCTGCTGCCTACAATACCTGGCTATATGGCCCTCCTTGCCACACTTGTGGCACCCATAAGAAGAACGACAACTTCCTTCATGTACCTTGCCGCACTTTCCACAAGTGTGACTTCTCTTACCTCCCTGTTGATAATCAGCGGTCCTCATCCGTTTCGGCGCAGGTTGCAACTGCACCGGGGCCTGCCTCTGATTTCTCAACTGAAGCTCGATCTCTAACCCGTGCCGCCTGGCGGCATCCTGCAACTCCAACAAAGTATCACATCTCTGTGTAGACACAAACTGTCGAATATATGTGTTGAGCATGCTCAGATATCGGGTCATCTGAACCTTCTCCGAAGCAAACTCAGGGCAAAACATCACCCTCTCCGTAAACATCCTGGTGATCTCCGTCACCGACTCAGAATCCTGCTTTAATTCCAAAAACTCTTGAGCCAATCTCTCCAGCTCCACCCACGGAACATAACAAGTACTAAACATGTCTCGGAACTGATCCCAAGTAACCGCAACTTATTGCGCATCAGAATATGATCCCGTAGTCAACCTCCACCAATCCTTTG